GAAACTCTTACTGCAGCTCACCATTCTGTTGAGGTGCTAAAGGGGGGGAAACAATAAAAGGGGGAAGGGCAGTGGGGGGGAAGCTGTGAGCTTAAACCCCAACATGGATGCCATAGGAGAGGAAGAAAGGGGAGCTTTAGGGACTATATGTTCTAAAGACACCTTTATATTGTATCCCCAGGGTTAGGGGATAGGTGGTACCTTTATATACTGCAGGGATAAGTCCCTCATAGCCCCCCTCTGTGTCTCAATCTGTAAGAAAAAGAAAATGAGGGAAGCCTGCACTGAGCTATGGACACTTCACTATATGGTGCCAGCTGCCTGACTTGTACAAAACCAGCCCTGCAGCCTGCAGGAGACCTGCTTAGGTCCCTCTCCCAACCAACCACACCATTGCAGCTGTGGAGAGAGCTTGGACAGCCATCCAAGGGTTTGCCTTCTGGAATAAAATAAATATTTTTTAAGAGTAAAAGCTGCCACTGACCTGGCTCTTAGTATTGTAGTCTGTTAGAAGAAATGAGATGGCCTGGAAGTCCCTTCCTTACTGGCTGGCCTGGATCCTGAACATAGAGTGAGTCTCTGGCCCAAGCACAGGCAGCAGGACTTCTGCCTGCAGCCACATCTCAAAAGTTGGCACAATAGTGTTGGATGTGATAGTTTTGTTTCAATACCACCAGTGGTGCAAGAACTAATGGTGATTTTTCAGTTTACACTAGGGGTGTAAATTAATGACATCATGAGAAGACAGTGGGGTTGTCTTTGCCATAAATGCTGTTGAAGTCTTCAATCTTAAAAAAAATGCAAGAAATTCAGTAATTAAATTGATAGCAGGGTAAGAGCAGCTTTCCTGTTCACTACACATCATATTTCCTCAAAGGAAAATACGGTGTTGGCCAAAACCTGTGGCCATTCTCAAGCAAAATTCCTCTGACTTCATTGGAAACTATGCTTTAGAAAGGACTTTTAAATCTTGACTCTTACTTTGTATCTGTTTAAGTATTATCTGGTTTTACACCTGGAGAATAAACATATACCATCCTGTAAGTCAAACCATGGAATTTTTCCAAATAACTTATTAGCACAATGTCTCAATAAATCTCGCTGAAGGGAATAACAAATATAGAAGAAAAAGAAACAAGTCTGTAAAATGAAATAACAAATCACTTTTAAACCACTGTACATTAATGAGTTAAGGGATACTGGGAAAAGACTGAGATCAGTCCAAGGAGACCGCTTTCTCTCAATTCTGCAAATAACATTTCCTGCAATACCTTGAAAGCAAGAACAACAAACATTCCACAGCATGGAAAGGTGGTAGATTTAAGCACTTGGAGCAGAAAAAGACCCAAATCATGGTGGGTATGCTTTTTTCTGCTTTCTTTTTCTATAGATCTGATTGTGGAAAATAGGCTAATTCAACCCATCTCTAAAAATCCTGCTCCAACCAAATCTGTCAGACTTACTAGCAGGAGCAGGTGTTGCAAGAGAAGACAGCTCAAACAGGGAACATTACAATTTTCTTTTCAGGTTTTCCTATTGGCATTTTCTTTGAGACATTTGATGTTCACTACTTTTTGTCTTTCTCAATTCCCCATTGATTCATTTGCACTAGAACAAAGGACAACATTAATGGATTTCTTTTTTTTGTTTTATTCCCTGCTTCTGATGCCATAAAGAACGCTGAGTGGCAATGATCAGCCACTGACACCCACAAAGAGATTTGTCTTTCAAGCGTACCTATGCGGAGCTCACCACGCACTGAGACAAGCAAAGCTTTCAATTGCATGCCAATGGGTGTGAGAGGCTCTCTACCTAACGCTGCTGTTTCTAATTGTCAGAGGCTGTGTCAAAACCCATGAAAGACCTAGTTTAGAAAGCAGACTGCTTTTTCTGACCATCCTTTCTGATTTCCCCACACCCGAATATTTCTTTTGTGGAGTTCTCTGACAATCCACTGCAATGTTTCAGCTCTGCTTCATGACAAGTACTTTTTTTTTTTTTTTTTTTTCTGGCCTGTGTTGCTGATTCTTTCTTTATAGCTGCACTTACTGTATTCCTTACAAGTGGCAGATCAGATGAAAAGGTTTTGCTTATCTTTGTAAGCTAAAAATGGCTGATGTATCCTGACTTTGTCCTTCAGGTGAGGTCCCACCTATAACTTTGCAAAAATATATTTCGCCGGGGGTTTTAAACCCGCTGGTTTTGCCCGGGAAGAAAACACCCCCAGCGGGACCCCCGTATTACCTCCAGGGTGGTCGTCAGCGAAGAGGAGGGCAGTGGCGAGTGAAGGAGGGATGGGCAACGATCGCTTTCTTCCAAAATAAAAGGTTTTAATAACATGAAAATAACAAACAAAAACACCTGAGGCAGGCACTGAAACAGCACCCACCCCAGGGGAGAAGCGAAAGAGCATGTGGCCTTGGGGCCAGGGGTTTTTAACAGGTTGGTAGGTGGGTTTACAAAGGCATTGTCCTGTAAGGATACCTGGATGGGTTACCGACAGGTCAGGGGTCCAATGGGTGTTAGGGGATAGGTTCTGTGGTGGCTAAGCCAACCACAACCTGGGAAAGGTGGAAAATTCTGGATGTGTGCCCATGTCTGGGGACAAAGAGGCAACAGAAACCTCTGTCTCCAGGAGGCACACTGCAACACCCACCAGCAAATGATGTCAGTGTGGATCCATAGTAAAATCTCTGCAACAAGTTGTGTCCTCTTGCCAGAAAAAAAGGAGTTTTTTCCTGTACTCAGACATGTTGCTTGCATAACCTTGAGTCAAGAAAGAGAAAGAAACAGACTTTTAAAACAGCAAAACACAGACACAATATTTAGGGATTGGGAGATAAGACATGGATCTAGAGATGCACCTAAATACTGGCATGGTTATCTGAGGCTCTTATCGAACCTTGATGCTTTATCCAGGTCATGGCTGTAAAACAGAACTGTTGTCCTCTCATTGCTGCAGTAACAATCCTGCAAACACCCAGATTCAGTTCAGAATAAACATTTTAAAATTATTTTCCTATTATTTATGAAGTGTAATCATCCTCAAGTCCAACAGTCATCCTGAAACAGTGTGTTCAGTGATGAATTCTCCAAGCTCTTATCAGGTGTTTTGTGCTGGCTTTGAAATGTTGACATTCTAAAGTACTCTATACCTTGTCTTGGGATCAAGTATTATAAATCACGTTTTCTCATTTGCCTGTAAGTCCTAGACAGTCCTCATCTGAAGCCTGTGGGTACTAACAACTGATAAAAAGTCACTTATCCAAAGCACTTTTTTAGCTAGCAGCATGGTGAGGTTTCACACTGACTGTTTTACCACTGGGAATACTGTAGCAATAAGCAACTGTGTGAAGAGCCTGGTGCTGTGCAAAGCCAAAGCTGTGGTAAAGTTGAGATCAGAGCTCAGCTCTTCTTGCTACTGTTTGAAGTGCTGAGGTTTAAAACCCCAGCCCTGAATCAAGGTTAACATACGGATGATGTCCACAATCAGGCAGGAAAGACCTTCCTGACTGGTTTTCACATAGGGTCTGGGCAGCATTGGGTGGGAACCAATTAGGAGATCACGACCAGGTGTCCTACCCTCAGGTTAACTGCAAAAAAGCTGGCTCTGCCTGCAGTGGTGGGAGCTTACTTATGTAGTGAACATACTGTATAGGAGTTCTAGCTACTTGAAGGGGCCCCCCAGCTGACCCTGTAGGCAGAGCCTCCAGTGATGGTGGGACATCAATACAGCTGGGAACAGAGAAAGGAATAATGGCATCATTAGTTGGACTGGTTGCCTGGGCCCTCGGTCAATTCGTTCCTGCTTCCACTGCATCCAGTGCTGTGAGTGAGTTTATAAATCTTTTCATTCCTCCAGGGGCTGGACACCTTGGATCCCTTCCACATGATTTAAGACCAGAGGGAGGGATCTGGTTCATGTGCTGTCCATTAATGATAGAATCTTTCCTATTGTGACAAGCAGTCAGCAAAAGGCAATTTCAATCTTGACTTTGGGACATTCAAACGGGGTTTCTGAAGTGTCGCTTCCTTCTTTTTGTTGTTTGTGATGTAAAAAGCTTTCAGCCCTGTAAGTCCTATAGCTGTTTCTGTACAGCATACCCACACTGAGCTGGAGTCACAGATTGTTTCTGCAGTGTTTCTACAGAAAATGGCAATGAAGATGACAGATACAGAGACACATATAGAGGGGAAAAAGATGGCTCCCAAATATAAAGAAACACTTGTTGACAGATCTTGTTCTCAACAGGTCTCAGCTCAGCTGGAAGACCTTGGCTTGGGAGTGAAATTACCATGCAAGGCACAAACAAAAGGCTCTGTTTTCATACTCTTCATTTCCTTTCCACCCTGCCCCCACCCCAGCTCAGCCCTTTAACCCTTTAAAAGAGACTCAAAGCAGTGAAAAGTTAAACTGAGGGTAAAACTTTGATACAAAGGCAAATGGTTAATACAAAACAAGGGTAAATTGGTTTAAAAATTGACCATTGGTAAGAAAAGAAATGATCTGTCAAGTATAACTTTGAAGCAACACAAGTGGTTTTCCTTCTCCACTTTATTTCATTTTATGCCATAGATGTTGCATAGTCTTAACGGATGAAAATGTTGGTATGAATGAACCATGCCAAACGTCAATTAAAATCTTGTCTAAATGAACATATTTATTTTGTAGCTTTTAAATCGATTTTATTTACAACAGGCCTCAGAGTACAGCTCACACGCAGTAGTTAAGCTCTGGCAGTACTGACACCAGGTCACTAACGCATTTGCAAATTACATTTCTAATTCATAGAAAAATGAAAGAAAAGTTACTTCAAAATAACTGTTTTATCTCCGAGTGTAGGGAGCACAGAACACGCTTGCAGGTGGCTGCAAGCGCGGCCGGGGGCGCTCCCCCAGCACGCTGAGGGCTGGGGCCCCCTGCACCCTG